AATCTACTCTGACCTTCGAAAAGAAGGTGCGACTGGTGTGACCACCTGGGAATTAGGCCACCACGAGTTGACTCGGAGTGTTTGAGCACCTGCCTGGCTCCGACACTCAGAGACTCGCGTTGGTTTTTCGGGAGAAAGAGTTCTCCGGGCTTGAAGCCAAGCATCGCCCATGGGACAAGGTGGGACAAGGTCGTAGACATTGTACATGATCTAGAACATGAATGACCTCTATCTTGGACCACCAACCAACCACCCAAAATATGTGTTTTTCCATCAAACCAGGGGTCATGTCTGGGTTGCAGCTATGTATACAACAGACTCGGGACATGGTCATCGACCATCTTGCAGCGCCCAGAGGCTTCGACAACTTGAAAGTGCAACATCGGTCGGATGCCATTCGGCTAGCACTTCTTGCTTCTTGGCAGAAGAAAAACACACCGACAGCTCCCTATTTCCCATTGGAGCCTCATAGCCAGGGTTTTGACCCTCACAGCCAGGGTTTTGGACCTCAAACATGTAGCAGTTTGAGGGTCCATGAGCTTTTGGGTAAGTTCTTTCCAATAGAACCCGGGGTCAAGGAGACCTTTTTTGTTCATTTGATTCACCTCCCATGGAGGTTTCTTTCGAACAGAACCCCCCAAGTAGATCACGGTTGTTCCATTTGTTATTTTGGGAGCAAGGACAAACAAGCCTCCAGCCTTGCAAGTTGAAGAATTCGGTCAGAAATGAATGGCGAGGGAAGTCGCCAGGCTGAAAAAGTCTTTGGATTTGTGAATAGCCCAGACATGCCCAGACCATCCATATATGGAAGGCTGTTTTATTCCTTTTATGACCCAAATGTAGGAACTATTCTATATACCCAGAGGCGACCCTGGTTGTTTTAACAAACATGGAAGTGGGTTTTGCTCTAACAGGCGGGTTGAACCCCACTTCTATCATTGTTTCAGGGTGTACTCTTCAAAGACTAACTGCAAAGTGAGTGCTGTTAGAATTCTGCACATGCAAACAAAGACTTATCCTAAGTATTCGTTCTTGAGTTATTATAGTTTCGTGTCATCCACCATTTGAAAGCTCTCTCCAACAGTCAGTGCATTGGGGCCACAGAAAAAAGAAAAAAAACACGTTACCCAAGGGCTCATTGGACCCTCAGTCCGCCAGGGTAAAACACACATAACAACACTCCGATCTCCCTTTGGGGAGCTTTTCGGCCTTTTTCAGGTGGACCGTCCGATGCATCCGGTCTGACGACGTCCCGTCCGGGATCGGTGATCGGTGGCATCGTTCGGGACCCGTGAACTGACCCGAAGCCGTGGATCAGGGCCAAGGGTGGTTGACCTCGGGTCATAGGCATACCTAGAACTTCATCTTGGGCAGAACTGTCTGCCTATAGAATGGGTCAAGGTGCTTCATTTCTCAACCAACTAGCTCCGTTTCGGTTCGGTGGGCCATTGGTGGGAGGTCTTGGGCGGTGATGGGACGATCGGAGCCCTAGGGGTAACTGAGCAAACTGAACAAACACCTCACCACCACACACAAAAACACCGTGTTTGCCTATATCTAGAATGGGTCCAGGTGCCGATTCGTCCACGCGGCACGGTCCTCGGTTTTGTCCCCACCTGGTCACCTCCGTCTCGTTTTCGACGTCCGTTTCACGGTCCGGTGCCGGTCCGACGGTTCCGGTGAGCTCGGACGTCCACCGGTCAACAGGGTCAAGGGGTCGACTCCCTGTTATACAGATCGTAAAAGGGGGCCTCAAAATGTATAATGTACCTTGGTCTTCCTCGGATCGACTTCCTTGGCCTAGGGCTGCACAAGACCGGCCCCTGAAGAAAGGCCGTGGTTTCCACAGCCCTTTGGACGATAAAGGTGTAGGGATCCAGTCGTACCTTCTCAGGTTAGGTGAGGAAGGAGGCACTGTGATGTAGGTGCCATCGTCGGGTCCAGTCGTACCGAACCTGAGAAGGTACTTGGATCCCCTAGGGCAAGATATTCCTGCGTAAAGGAGGTGACCGGATTCCCTCTTCAGGAAGGCGCGGTCCCCACGCGGTGCTTCTTCCCTAGGGCTCCAACTCTATCCTCAGAAGGTGGTTATAGACCCCCCAAACCCACCCCAACCACCTTCTCAGGAGGTGGTTAGAGCCCTAATTAATTCTTCTCTCCAGCAGTCACAAAGGGGTGGTGTTTGGTCCCTAAGTGAGTGGACAATGGGCACTCCGAACCTCCATGGATCGCACCCCTTTGTGACTGCTGGCTTATTATCCTTCTTCTTCTGTGGACCGCTCCCATGCGTCCCGTTCTTCCACGCACCACCGCGCTCCTCACGCACCACGCGTTTCGGACGATCGTCCGTGACTTCAAAGGGATCCGAGTCTCCCACACCGTTCCTGTGTCGCCAGAGGTGTGAGGACCGGAAGTTGGGTGTGGTATTGGCGGGAGGTGTGAGCACTTCTTAGACTTAAGAGACCAAGTCAAGGAGGAGGGTGTGACAGGAGATTTACTTCCACAGGTGCTATAATGGTGGCAAAAGGGGGTCCCCGATCGCCGCTGGGTAGACTGGTCGACGATGTCTTTCTTCCATATAGGGGGTCGGAACAAGGGGGTTCAGAACAAGCCGTTTCTGAGCTACCCACCCGAATGCCTAGGTGGAGTATGGCGGAGTTTGGATGGATGCCACTCTGCTGCTCCTGAGACCCCTGAGCATGGTCATTCAGGAGCTGCTTTTGCGTCAGTCACTGCGTGACCGGTGTCGCCGAGCTGGCGGGTTTTCTCAGCGGCGGAGCGTGTGAGCGGAGCGTGGGGGGTGACGGGCGCTTTTGGGTGTGACGACAGATACCGTTAAGGTCATGTTTGTTTAAAACAATTTGCGACGTCGATTCCGGGATTACACTGCCAACAACCGTGGAAGTCCATCGAAAGCGCCGTGGGGATGGATGGACGATCCATGAAAGGGTTGCCTTTGGAGATCACTTGAGCCAATGTTGAATCCGAAAAACGTGTCTCGGCTCAGGCAGACAATGATCACAGTACACAATGAATGTTGGTTACACATTGCGAATACATTCATAATATACATTATATACTAATATATAGTGCATGTATTTAGTTTTGGAATATTCTAACTGCTAGCGTTGCATTTACTCTGACTGTTGACTGTTAAAACATGTTTGCTTGCTGTTTACAGTTTTTTTTTTTTCTGGCATGTTGAACCTTGGACCGTTGATATGAGAGTTCAATTGGAAGTGGTTCCTTTCCAAAAGGTAAGTGGATCGTTTTGTTTAATGTATCTATGCTTTCACACAACCATGGATGCGCAGAAAAACCGCAGAGATCCGCAGCAGTTTTTTCAACTCACTTGGCCGGGCTCCGTATGATCCCCGACGGAAGCTCGGCTGCAACTTTACTCAGTCAAGGGAGATGCTTGTCTAGCAACGCCCTTAAAGGCTCTGGAACTCGATTGTAGTTGTCCCTCGCCCACCTTAGATAGCATTTGATTGTTCCTGAAACCGTGCAACATACTGCCGCATAAATAACACATTTGATGGACATTGAACATGTGTGCACGCATTGCCCATTACCCATGAATGCCAACTGGCAGCTGCTGCCTGCTGGCCGTTCCGGCTGACTTCTTCAGCTCCTTCATATCCTCATCGCTTATGCCCTCTGGGATCACTGCATGGTGCCAAGCCGTGTCGTAAACCTTGGTACATCTAACCAAAAGCTAGGTACATTAAGAGCTTTCTTTGGCAAGTGATTTGCTCGACGCGTAAGCTAGGTAGAAGCCAAGATACGGATCTCAATTTCCTTTGCAAAGCATCCTTGTCCATTTCTTCCGGCTCCACAATCCTCGCCTTCTTTTGCCCCGCAGCTTTGGCTTTCGCCTTTGCCTTGGGGCTCTTCTTTGGGGCTGCCTTTGCCTTGGGGCTCTTCTTTGGGGCTGCCTTTGCCTTGGGGCTCTTCTTTGTGGCTTTGCGTTTGAGAGTCTTCCTGATCGAACTTGAACTTTTCGTCTCTTGGTCTTTCTTGGCTTTTCTCACCTTCCCTTGTACAGATGCACTTGATGGGGCCGCTGGAGAACTTGATTGGGCCACTCCAGATGAGACCGCTGCAGAACTTGATCGGGCCACTGCAGCATCTTCCACGCGCACTGAAGCAGGTTCTTCCAGCTTCCCCTCCCTTTGCATGCGATACCTGGACTCCAAACGAAGGATAGCTGCGTTCATCTCCGTGATGTTGTCCTGATTGATCTCTTGTTTCATCAAAGCCAAGTCCTGTGCATATTTTTCAGGATCTTTGAGCATCTCCTCATACTCAGCTTGTGCCTCCTCGTGCACAAAAATGATCTGGTTGACTTGATCAAGACACTGTGTGATAGCTGCACAAGTGCATGTCAAGAGTTCTGGTGACACAAAAGCCCCTTCCTCCCAACTGGTTCCCTGGGCATTCACAGCAGTGGTAGCCAACTCCAAGTGCTTGGATGTTTCTTCTGCAGCCAAAGCCAAAGAAGAGGCAAACTGCGCATTCTCAGCGTCCTCCACATCAGCACTGGGGGTCTCAGTGCCCGCGCCCACCACATCACCAGGCTGAGCAGCATCCCCCACAGCACCACAGGGCACCTCAAATTAGTTTATTGGAAAGTGGCTGCATGCATGACACATACATACAGGTCTTTTCAATACTATATGCACCATTGCCATCATGGCACCTCCTCATCCGGCTCTTGCTCGTCTTGTGGTGACTGCCCCAAGATCAATGTTGGTGACAGCTCGGATTCCACAGGGGTTTTCTCAATCTCGCAAGTATGCGGCGAGCCTTCTTCGATTTGGGTCTCCTCAGAGTGAACAGCAGAGCATAATGTTCAAGATAGGTTATTTGTTTTGCTGCAGATTGATTTCTTTGCAACAACGTACCATGTATATAGACTATAGATATGAAGGGATTGGTGTGACTTGGAACTCACTCAAATGAGCAGCAGCCACGTCCGGGATCTCAGGATATGAATCATGGACCGCCATCTCCTCTGCAACCTCGAGGCCTGACTCCTGATTCGGAAAAATCAACAAGTTGGTTGTGGGTAGATACACAGCGGATCACTCACTCCTGGTCAATCTTCATCACTTCATGCTCATGTTGTGCTCGATCATTTTGCTCAGGGCTTGTTTCCAATCCCAACTGATTGTCGCACTCTTCACCCCAAAACTGCCTTAGATTGATATTGGAAGGGAATTCAACCTGGAACATGAATGCAAGTTTCCTGATGAACAGTCAAGTTGCTGCTTCAACCGCCTTAATGGTGGAGGATTGCAGAGTTGACCGTCACCATCATGCGAGATAGCTTCGGCAAAATCTGCAGGAGCATCATGAGGTTCATCGTCCTGGATTTGGGCGGCGAAGGATGAAATAGGTGGGGGGAGTGAAACTTGAAACTTAAACTTGGACCAGCTAAACCAAACGAAAGGGTCCTTTCTTGGCCTTTTGGCTGGCTTTTTCTTCGGTGGACCAGAAGCAGCGGGGCGCCTCATGGTCTTTCCCTTTGCACTGCCTGATGTGTCACCAGCAGCATCACCATCCTCATCATCTTCATCTTGACCCCCACCGAGTGGATAATGTTCCTCATCCATTTGATCACCATCTTCTTCGGTCTTTTTCTTTCTTCCCCTGCCCTTGGCAGTGGCCTTTACCTTGGGAACTGCGATGGTCTTCTTTGGATCTTCATTGGATGAATCGGTATCAACTCGTCCTGGAAGTCCGTGGCCACAAGAAGCTGAACCTGAATCAGAACAAAATCCAGTTGAAGATTGTTAATAACTGTTACTGCAATATGACCAGTTGTTTGGACTGGAAGAAAGGATTTGCAATTTGCTTTTGGCCTGAAGATTGTGCAGGCTGCATCGCTTTTGGGGCAGCCTTTGGAGCTGCCTTCGAGGCGGATGCCGGGGGAACCGCTGAGGAGATTCGAGGTGGAGTAGCATTCGCCCCACCGCCAAGTAATCCACCGACATCGAAAGCCTCAGGTAGTAAATGTCACAAAACCAAAGGTTGCCATGTTTCACACATCAGCTTCACAGCATCCAGAAATGTTCATGCTTTCTTAGAGCCGGGAGGTTGTGTCATGAATAAGAACAAGGGGCAGGTACCCGCAGTCTGCATGTCAAAGGCACCTCCTCAACGCTTTCACAATCTGAGTCACCCATGGCTGCCTTGTTTTTTCTCCACCTTCCCGGCTATCAGGCCAAATGCTGGCAGGCAACCTGATGAGTTGTACGAAAACCCAGTGACAATACGAACATGTCGAACATGGCCGATGTTTTGCATAACAACATGCGCTGGAACATTGCTTCGCGTAACCATTTCAAGCATATGCAAGTTAAATAAACATAATGTTTGTGTGTGCAACAGTGATTGCCCACGACATCGCTTGCCATTGAATATCATTTACCTACAGATATCCATTATTATATTATACTTTATATCAATATATGAGGCCAACCAACCTGAATCTTTGCAAGCAAAGCTTGCCGCAAAAGGTGTTTCTTTGACTGAGCATCTTGAGGTTTATTGGTCGGCTTGACCACTCACTCGGCAGCGAACGTTTGCTTGGAAGCTGAGTGGAGGGCGAAGAAATGGAGGGTTTTTTGAGCTTTGAGTCAGATAGTAGAAGTGGCAGAACATCCAATGAACATAATAATAGCTTTGATTATTTATGATTATTTTGGTGGGCAACTCCCTGCAAGAAGGCTGCCGAGTGAATCCCCCATAAGGCACTCTCTGAGTGACCATGTGTCCCATCAAAAGATCCTCTCCTTGGCTGAGCAACAACAAGAAAGGAAACATGTTTTCCCTGTGTGGGTTGACAGTAATATGATTATGTTTAACAAGGTACCCTGACAATAGGAGAGGTGATATACTAGTGACCATTCACCTTGATGAATGGTCACTCAGATCAGGCGCACGTTGCCTTCCGCAACCTCAACAGGGTGAGACAAACACATCACCGGTCGAATGGGCGCAATCACGTTGGTGGCCTTTTGATCGCTCCCAGAACCTTTGCTCTCCAACCTCAACAGACGAACAACTACTTGGTGTTCCAGAAGCAACAAGACAGTTATATGTAACAATAGTCATATGCATATGCAGTCATATGTAACAATAGTAATATGTAACTGTAGACGAGCAACCTGCAACGCCATGCGAGGACCAGGGTTGAAGAGTTGGATTTAATCTTAGACACATCCAGAAATGATCCGAAGTTCCTCATGGTGATGTTTGGTCCAGCAGGCTTAGCACCCTTCTCCTTTTTAACCTTCTTCTTGTCGGGTGCATTTGGTGGATCGTCAAGGCAGAACACCAAGCTCTTGGAAGGCTTCCACTCCCCCTGCGATAGCACATGGTGCGAGAGCTCGATGTTCGCCTGACATCTCAAATCATCGCAAATAATTGAACCTAATGCACAAGTATGAATGATCTATTTTGATTTAAGTATTTTGTTGTCGTATAGTGATTTGTTTGAACGGGGCCTCACCCATGTCCTCCAGGTCAATCACGATGCTTTGCAAAGTCACCGGGGTTTCCAGGTTCTCCAACTTGGTCAGGTGTGCTGGAATTCCCTTCCGCTCGAGAATGACGAAGTCAGTAGATTTCATTTTGAATGCCAGCCATCGCCCATCAGGATCGTTGAGGATGTCATCTGCATCCTGACGTGGGTGGATGAACAAGGACCAGAGATGAATTCGACGCGGCGGGCACGAGACACATTGGGAGGAACACTCAGGCTCAAGGCAAGTCATTCACCGAACGCCAAGCGAACCCCTAATCCTAAGAGGACAATGTTGCAGCAGCAGTATAGTTTCTTGCAAAAATACTGAGTGAGTCAAGGCTCCACGCCATCTCTCCATTCACCTCCCCCGAAGCTGAACCTCAGCCCAAGCCCAGACCAGGTGCAGATATCATACGTAGTATGTAGATAGTATGCATGATATTTTCAACAATGTTTCAGCTGTCATAGTCACAGTCTGAGTAGCAGCTCACGTTTTGCAAACATTTGGTTCTTCCCACGAGCGGAAAAGAATAGCTGGTCTCCCATGGGATCGCCTGATGCAATCAAATCCAGCGTGCTGTTGATGTTCATTCTCTTCCTGCAAGGCTGCACTGGCTACTGCCTCCAACTTGCAGTCTCCCAGTCTCCCTAAAAAAGAACAAAGTAAAAGGTAAAGCACCTTGACACAAACTTTCGATTGAGACGAGGGACAGGTTTGGCAACTTCTGGAGATCTTCTTCACTGATTGGCTCCAATTTGATAGCTTTGCCATCAGCCGTAGGAGCCCCTGTGCTTTCACCATCCTCTTTGGATGAAGTGGTCCTGGGCCCAATGGGTAAACGAGTCTGAGGGCTGGGCATGGTCAGCTGGTAGACGGATTGATTTTAACACAAGACTGCAAAGAGCAAGAACAAAGGTGCGTTTGGTCTTTGGTGCGCCTGTCACCCATCAAAGAACCATCCGGGTTGAAGCGACCATTGTGGTCCTTCACAATCTCTTCCGCTCGATCCTTTGTTTGTTCACTGCTCAACCATTTGGTTGCCAAAGACTCTAGAATGAGAAGGCGGTCCGCCTGTTGTACGGTTACCTGGAACGATGTGTTAGCAGCAGCAGCACGACCTTGTTTCAATGCTGCCAAAATAGGCTCGAAGTGAGGGAATCCGGGAACCTGCAAAGAAGATCCTCGGCAGCCTTGATAGACAGCTTGTGCAACGCCATTCAACAAGCTTTGGCCGGAGTGATCCAAGCAGACCGTGCCACATACACATGAATTGCCCTCGGTGATTTCCTGTACAGGCGGATATCAGTCAAATTCTCACAATTCTTATCTTATACAAATATTAATTTAATATGATCAAATGTCTATATCGTATTGCCGCAGTCAATGTCAATCAACCCCAACATGTCCTCCACACAGGCACGTGCAACCCAACCATCATATCCCGTAGCATCGATCAGGATGTTGGCTTTTGAAGTGGGAATCTTGAAGGCATCCATGGTGCTTCGAACAAATGGAGTTCCACCTGCAACCTGATATTTGTGAAAAAACGGTTGATCACAGTTACAGTTTCAAGCGGGTGAATTGTTTGTCGACCAAGTGAGACTGAGTAAGCAAAGAAACCTGACGCAACTCCTGAATGTCCGTCATCGCACGCCCAAGGTGGGGGAGCGTCGCAGACTTCGTCTGTGGCGAGGCCTTGCAGTGTCGGTGAGCGGGTCGAGAGTTGTGGTGGGCGCAACACAGGTGCAACACAGGCGCCTGAGGTTTGATCATATCGCTCCTTTGCAACATGGGCACCGAATGGATCACTCCAGTCTTCCAACCACGGGATTGTCTGAAATGGTTTCGGGCGTTGTTGTGTGTCAAGGCGAAGCCCGAAAGGACACCATCCCGTTTGCCATAAACCGTGTCCTTATTTGCAGACTAGGTCTGACAAAAACCTTTTGTTTGGAGGTATCAAAACAATGAGTAACAATGACTAACAGTCAGTCAGTTTGATTCAACACATGATAAGACAAGTCACCGGGTCAAAAACCCATGTGATGGCGCGCATGCTTAGGTTGCGCTCCTTCACTGCAAAGTTTGTCCTTGGTAGACTTGAATCACTTACTTGAACATTTATTTGGTAAAGATCTTGCAGTGAACATTGTATTTACTACAACCCATCCTGCGTTTTTGAGCTTGACATGGGCTATGTGCCAGCGTTAAATAAGTCAAAGAACTCCAATTTGTACCGGACCTCCCTGAGCAAAGCGGACTCGCCACTCTCTTCCTTCTTGTCATCTTCACCCGGAGCTTCATTGTCAGATTCAGGCTGGGCTTTGCCAAAAAGTTTCTCCTCCTCATCATCCTCATCCTTCTCAGCCTTCCGCTTCGCGTCAGGCCTCCTGAAAGAGCCAGGCGAGGATAACGTGAAAGGGCGCTGGTGGGAAGACTCATGAACAATACGTTGAGCTAATTTGCATAAACCTACACACACACACATCCATCGTTGCTTTTTGGTGGAGCCTGAAAGCTCTCGATGACTGCTCTAGTGGGCAAGGTTGGAGTCCTTTTTTCCAGCAGGTGTGGTCTTGTTGAATTGAGAAGGTGTTTGTCATGGCCCGTGCAAAAATGCTCGCTCAGGGTTGTTTGAAGCACCAGGGTCACCAGAGGTTGTTACTGTTCCGCCCCTTCCACTGCCGACTGTTTATTAAGTAGGTTTTACTTATTTGTCATTGACCATCTCAGAAAAATGCTTTATATTACTGTCAATTTTTTTTTGGCTAAGAGTACTACAAAATAATGCAAAATATGAAAAACCAATAGTGAAATATGTTCTGCCGTACATGTGGGCACGTGTCTCCAATCAAGACTCCTCCCCTCTTGTTGTCCAGCTCGGTTTGGATGGACGACAAAACATACAGCATTGGCCGGATGGTCCGACAATATGTTTGTAACATAGTTCAAAAGGAAGCCGTTCTTTGCCGCACCCGCGATACCTAAAGAGGGATAGTTGACGAAGATGAAAATGCTGTGATCATCCGATGTGTTGCCCATATCAGTCGCCATATTGCGTACCCAAGCACGGCTAGCCGGCATGACCGTGCTTTCGCCCTCTGCCACTTTCCCTTGGAAAATGGTGATGTTCTTCTCAAGGAAGTTGGACACACATTGCCAGGCTCTGTCATGACATTCCTGCAACTGTCAAGTACTGTGTATAGTAACTGACAAGCAGAAAATCACGTGTCAATCAATCCCAAATTGTCTCATATAATGCTTAATCGGTCTTACAACTCTGATCCAAATAAGCAGTCCTGGAGTTGCGTAACCAATTTGGCCCTGCTTTTGGCAGTCTCTTTTTCAAGCCTCAAATCAATCATTCACAGTTGTTCATGGCACGGAGCCATCAAACGTATAAACCAAGAAACATACCCCAAGTCAAATTGTGACGCACCATAAATGAAAAATGTCAGGTAGCAAGATCTGCTCTGCCTGAAACTGAGCCTGGTCCGCCTTCAGGCTTTCACACCATGATGAAAAAGCTGCTTCCATGGATTTGGTCAAGGCATTGCGTGAGCGGTCTTGATGATCTTGCATGAAGGTCTCCATCGACTTGCCTTGGGCCTGAACAAGGGATGCCAGGTATTAAAGCTTGCACTCTGACACCTAAGGAAATGAACACATGCAAATTTAGTATATATCAATATATATTGTTTAAAGCATGAAATTCAAAACAACTGAATGAACTGACACTTAGCTCCAAAAAAATGCCTCCCAAAAGAATGGAATCTAGACTACCTTAGAATCAATTTCAATCCAATGTCAATGCCTCCAAGAAGAATGGAATCCTCCGAAAATCAAAGCCACCATCGGCCATCCGCATCACGCTGTGGAGGTCCGCATCGAGATGCCTGAAAAAAAACAATTGAAAAAATCTGAAATATTCAAAAAAATATAGAAAATATTAAAAACAACTAAACCCCGTCAGAATCAATCACTTTCAGAGCCCTGAACCAACACTCCCAAATGTGACGGGGTTTCTAGAAACCCAATCACAATCATCATTTAAAAATAGGAATCAATCACATTTGGAGGTCTGGAAAATAGGAACCAAATGTGATTGATCCCTTCCAGAACATCAAAATTGCGACGGGGTTTCTAGAAACCCAATCACAATTTGAAGTTGTTGGGCCAAGTTTGGGAGTGATTGATTCCAAGAGTTTCGCACCCTCAAATTGTGACGGGGTTTCTGGAAACCCAATGATTTTTTTGATGTGTTTTGCAAACAATTTCGCAAACCAATCACAATGTCTCATCGGTTTGCAAAGATTTTCGCAAACCCATCATGTAAACTTTGTGGTCCTGTAAAAGTGTTCATCATTGCCACCATCTCTTTCAGATAATGTTTAATTCAATTGAAGTGCCCATCTCGCCACAAAGCATCATGGTGGCTGATCACATCGGCAGGAAATTCCCGCTCCATTTTGGCCCGCACCCACTGCCAAAGGCAGGCGATGTCATGAAGCGCTTCATGAGCGGGCAAATCCAATTGCGATGATTTCTGACAGGATGAAAGCACGGGCAATGGTCACTCATTTTACAATGACTGAAAACTGAACCATTGGCTGGCCTTGGTTTTGGCTGACGAAGTGATTGGAGCTTTCTTGGCAAAGTCCTCATCAAAAAACTTGCACAATGTTTAATGTATAAACAGCATTATAAACATCCAATCAAGTCCAGCAAGAAAATACATTTCAATCCTGGGTCGCCCTCTGGAAGTACAGATTGGCCGTTTCTGCAGTGGTCTCAAGAATCTCAGCAAAGACATCCTTGCCACGAAATGCATCCACCTCCAGGCGGGATTTGCAGCCAGGGAAGTCAGCCTGGAGCACCTCGTGAGAGACTCCTGCAACCAAATGCAAAAACCTGATGGCCTGAACAGTTGTGAAGAGCATTCATGCAAAGCTGTCCTGACAGCTCGTGTTTGTATTGGTCCCAATGCGAATGCAACAGCTTCAAGAGCTCTGGTGGTGATCTCAACCTCGAAAACGGACAACCGCCCATCAATCTCCAAACGAAAATCGGTCAAATCAATGCACATTACACCAAGTCACAAGTTGTATATCATCGCCCGGCGGGCCGAATCAATTTTATGCCGGCGATGAGCTGTCATTCGATTATAGTCTGCGATGCAGCGTCCAAGGACATCTCGGAGGGCCGTCTTCACACCGGGGCGAGAAAGTCTCCGCTCGATCGCCACTGCCTGTTCCATGTCACCAGCCATGGATAAGGGACTTGGGCTCATCTTCTCAGCTGTGACGTAGCCGATTCCTGAGCAACCAAGCATGCTCAATGAAACTGGTTCACGATTCGTTGTGCGGCTTTCATATCAGCTTAGTGTCTGAGCGAATCCAAAAAGTGGTGGGCTGGGTTGTCGAAGTGTTTATAACTGCAGCGTACTGATTCGAAGGACTTCAGCACATGCCGAAGCTGAAGATTTTGCATTTCTTTCTCTCCAAACTCAAGTTCTTTGCAGAAGAGCACTATTGCGATCATGATCAAAACCTTGGTCTGCCCGTCTGTGAATCCAACTGAGTGGTCTTCGACCGTGCGGGAGCCATCTCGATGTGGAAACTTGCACTGAATGCTTTCCATCGAGCATAGATAGCCCTGCTTCAGGAACTCTGGAAAGTGAATGCTGAATTGCTGATTCGAAGGGAAATCTGATCAGGGTGATGCAAATGTTCAAAACATATTTGAGAACTAATGCATGGTAATTATAAACAAACTCATCCAAACTTTGGACCACCGGACAGCCGTTCTTGGCATCTTTGGAGATGTCAAAGCACTTCAAAGGCAGCCAGAATTCATCCATAGTGACATCTGGAATAAGCTGCAAATGAGCTTTCCGAGAGAACGTATTCAATGCAGGGACATAGGTGTCCAAAGCCTTTGAACAACTGAGAACAAAGGCCATTCAGGAACAAATGATCGTCCATTCTCTACATCACTCAAACTTAAGCATCCCACATCATCCAGAACAGAGATATCCTGGACTCGCTCTGAAATATGATCTCCAAGGTTCTTCATGGCGGTCACCTTAGTTGTGCTCAACTCGGCTGCGGCAATGTGCATTTGATCTGAAGCCCACTTGCAGCCAGTTGACCGTTTCAAAATACGCCAGCAGTTGGCCAATGGGATCGCACTCAGGCACTTCACCATCAGAAGCTTCATGTGCACTCATGGCTAACCCTCACAACAGCCTGACCTGACAGTCAAAAATACCTGCAAATAAGGTGTTCTTTCACATGTGATGTACGAAGTGAAGCAATTCATGCGCAGCAAACAAATTCTTGAAGTGAAGTCACGGATGCTTTTCATGTTTTTTCAACCCCGACGACCCCATTGCTCTTTCAGTTGGCGCCATCGCCGTTGCGATGGACAATCCCCTATATGTGGCCTTTCGATTCAATCGCGATTGCGATGGAAGACCACTTGCAAACAGTGCGGCTTTGGTGGCACCGGTCGTGCCGCCCATTGGAAATCATGATGGTTCAGCTCTTCCACATTGTTGATATTGTTGAGGAAGGACAAATGTGTTGCTTGACCAACATCTGTATCCTCGGAGCGGGCCAAAAGGGTCTCGTACCAATTGATCCCGCGCCTCAGCGAAGGAAAATCCCTCTTCAGTGCCACAGCCAAGCGTTTGATCTCATCCTTCCTCTCCGGTTCAAATACTGGTTTGGCCAACAGGTCGGAGGATTTGGCCAGCTCCAAAAAGCGCTTCGATTTGCCAAGTAGGGAGCCTGGCAAAACCAAGATAGGTACTTGTGACAAACTGCTGCTCGAAAGCTCTGACTTCACCAAGCAGAACACATCATCCATTGCCACCTGGTCATCATGGGAACGGAGATGTGTTGGTAGCCGCTCCACTTTTTCAAACTGAACGGGCATCCGTGACCTCTTCATGAAAGTGAAGCAGTGTGGTACCGGGGTTTGAACTTTCGATGCGTCATGCTCATCGTGCTTGCGGACCTTGTAGCAGTTCTTCAGCGTAACATCGTTGGGAACCAAAGACGTCCACTTCCTGACCTTGCATGTGTTCAATAGTCTGAGACTGACTGAGGTTGGGGACAACAACATCAACATCACTTCAAATCACAACCAAACCATGACAGAGTCACTGCTGATACCAGCTCGACTTCAAAGTCTTGATTCCTTGCTGCAAACATCTTTGTCATTCTGTTTTCCAGCACCCTCTTTACATCTGCAGGAGTTTGGATGTCGGCTGCGCACGACAATGCTCTCTTGCAATACGCTAAGCAGCCATCGACATCCTCATGAGTATGTCCGACTTCCAAGTGCCCTTGTGTCGTGCTTTCGAAGGCACATTGAGCTAATGTGCTGCAGATTTTACCACACCACTGGTTCTTCATTTCCTTGACTGTATTATCTGCCTGAATCCACAGCCTGAAGTGGTTTGAGCAGAGCTTACAACCCAGAAACAATAAAGCGATTCAAAACACTCTGCCATTAATTGAACTTTATGAAGTCAGCCAGCCAAGCGACTCCTTTGGGAAGGGCACGTTGCGCCGACGTGTCAACGTGTAAACCTTCTGGAGAGATCTCATGACCTGAATCTTGAGGAGGGGTTTCAATCATATTTGATCCCTCTCTCTCTCTACACCGCAGCTTTCAGCCAAGTAGCACACTCCCACTGCCAGTTGGAGCCAGCACTCTGCCCCTCGTCGCAAATATAGAAGTAGGTAGCAAATCCGTGGCATATGACTGCTGTCAGCGTCAATGAGACTCCTTGGTTCCAGAGCAATTGGGCTGCAATAGTATGACCACAGTCACCAACAGTTGCAAAACAATGTATAAACAAACTATAATCTATAATCCAATGAATGTCCAATGATTTCAATGCCCTTAAAATGAAACAAGTTACATAGAATCTATCCATCACAAGCAAGCTTCTTTTGCACAGCTCGTAGACGGCCCGTTTGGGCGATCTTTTAAGAGGAAACACTGGAAGGCATAGCTTACTTTTGTCATAGCTGTCAACGATGAGGGTTAAAAGATCGCCAACCGTCTGGCTCCTTTGACGCGCACACCAGTAGACCTCTCTGTTTTTCCACTGGGATTCATAGTGCTTCATGAGCTGGTAGCAAAGGGTTGAGTGCAAAGAGAACTCCTTGGATGGAGTCAATATGCAATCGGACTCAATATGAGTGATGAAGCCACACTTCAACTCAGCTTGAGACCTTTGCCTCGCGGATTTGTGTCTTCAATGCAGAGCACGTCATACACAAAGAATGTTCAGATGCATGCCTGAAGCGAAGGCAAGCCTTCCAAGACTGCGCAACTGTGTAAAAAGTGCTTCGAGAAGATGGAGGCTGATTGCCATTTCGTGCCCATGCGACATACATCATGTACAAGCCACTGTAAGTGTTTGGAGGCAGCTCCCTCACCGGCAACTTGGAGAGATCCCTTTCCTCAAGGAGGATCTCCCGTGTTGCACCCATCAAATGCCGATCGATCAGAAGTCTGAGCAGCTCGTCATCCGAATCAAAATCAGCATTTTTGTCATCAGTCTCAGCTGACCTGATTTAGAAATCAAATGTTGCCCAATCAATGATAAAATTACAGCGTATCATAGCGTTTTAATTTGTTGTTCTAATTTAGCTTGGCCGCTTTGTCACCATTGTTTCTCCGGCTGTCCAGTAGAGGTGCTCAAAAAATACCATCACATAAGCCGTTTGCATTGCTGGGTGAGCTGAATCAGAACCTCAAACAAAGATCTTGGCGTAGTGGATTGATTGCAGTGCATGATTGCAGTGCATGAGCCAAGCTTCGTCGGTTGAGTGTCCTCTCATCAAGACCACGCTGCCGTTTCTTGGTGCGCTGAAGCCTTTGCTTGCCTATGCCCATATAACGTAGCCACGACTCCCTGCACACTTCATGTCCTGCACACTTCATACATCTTACATGCAAGAACTTTATTTCACACCATCATGCCTTATACGAAATCATGGGAACATGACACATTAAAAGACTAAGACAAACACAAGTCCTTCTATTGTCCATGTTTTCTTTCGATCGGAGGTGCTCAATAGGCTCCATAGGACAGCATCTTGGTTGGCCTTCTCCATCGACCAAAAGGTTCTGCAAACCCGGCGAAGTGTAGACAAAGGCACAACGCAACCACAATCACATGGAGGGGATTTGATTAAGGCTTTCAACCGTGCATCGTCCATCCCATTGGCAGCATATTTTGACTGGTCACATTCTTCACCATGAGTGTGGAAAGCTTCCAAGTAGGTCAGTTTCATAGCAACTTCTGAAGTTTCACTCGGAAGCTCTTCTGCGGCACTGGATTCCCTTAAGTTTGGCATTCCCTTTTCAGGCGAACAGGGGTCATACTTGTCATAATTTGTCCTAAATAGTAAAATTGTGTTTCAACAAAACCAAGGATCCCTGCGCTCTCATCAGAATCATGGGTTGAAGTACCCCCGGATGATTGCTCATCAGACGATTCGTATCGCCAAGCTCCAACCCGTTGCACAGTCCTTGAAGAGCGCAGCTCATCCTTCTCGTCATCCCACCGAGCGAGGACCGGCATTTGATGGAATTGGCAGGGTGTGCAAAAAAGGTCGACCCACGAATGCAATGATTGACAGGTTCTTATAATATATTAAGATACTATGTTTTGAGACATTTTGACGGATGATATATGTAGTGATATATGTATTCCTGTTCCTTTGGGCCTGCCTAACGACAAATGCAATGTGACATCACCCAACAATCACACATTCAAAAGAAAGGAGTACACTGCAATGCAGTTTCGGAGGTGCTGTTTTCTTCTGGGCGCCACGGGGGGGGGGTGATGATTCAGACAGTGTCCAAATACTCCCGCATCTTGTGTGGGTGCACAGATCTCAGCAACACCCCAATAGCCACCAGAAGCGGTCGCATGGCAATGCCGTTTCCTGCCAGCTTCATCAGGGCCTTATTTTGCTTAAAACCCAGATTTGTTCCCCAGTCAAATCCATGACACGAGCATGTGCATCCAAGCTACCCTGTCACTGAAAGATTCCAATTTCAGAGCATGGATCGGGAGGCCCATGAGTAGAAGTGCTTCTCGGCCTCACGTCAGGATCATGGAGTGAGGGTCAGAAGGAAGGATTGGCAGCTGAGGGAGGCACCGCAGAGGTACCGATTCTTCTTCGCAAGATAGAATGAGCCATTGGGCCTGAGCATCAAAAAATTGATTTGGTGTACCTCGCGTTAAGACATTCCATGAGCTTCACTTAGGCCAGGTTACGTAATGCAAGGGAATCTGTCAGCGCGGTAATCTTGTCCAAAGCCTCGGATGCCAGTCCGTTTTGGTAGAGATGGATCAATGAGAATTGAATACTTGGGTTGTGCCTAGACGCATCCAGCTCACGATGGGTGGTGATTTGATGCGCTGCTTCAGGGAAGGCTCGGCGAAAGGATCCCCGAATTTGTGCGGCCTTCTTGTCAACCTCAAAGGGATGAGGGGTTCCAACTCATTCTACTTAGAGGCAGCTGAACAGTTTCTTTTTTTGAGGCTGCGACGAAGTTCTTGCGGACAAACTTTCTGTGGTGCTGTACCCATTTTGCCTGTAGCAGTTTCCTTGGTACCAAAGACCGACAAATCATTGTTGATTAGCTGCAAAGAACTCAAAGATCCAAGTTTCCCTTTCTTCAGGTTTCTTGCACTGCGTTCTGCTCTCTTGTTCATGCTTTTGACCACCTCTGGATGGCTGTTGGGAAACAAGAGGCTCATCCTTAATTCGGACAGCTCAAACAGAATAGCGGCTGGATGCATGTTGGGCACTGCTGCCAGGGCACCAGTGGCACACCCGTGGTAGCTTCATATTCGAGATCACTTCGTTTGCATAAGCGGTGAGATCACACGCAGCTTTCTTCAACATCAGCTCCTTCCTCACGAGCAAGATGTAGCATCGGTCGCGTGCAATGGGGCAACCGAAGTCTTTCCTCAAATCACGGGGCTATCTTTGCAAAGAAACCACATACCAATCAATACATTCCAACCCCTTGTTCACACGGTGTGTCCAAGCCACGCATTGAGCCGGAAGAGAGCAATTGTGTACCTCAGAGGGTGGAGCCACACAGTGAAATGCCTTCTATGTTTCACAAAGCGACGTGTCAAAGCAATGTGTTAAAAATCAAACAATTCCGAGCGTCTCAGGTAGCTCTCGATGCAGGAGATCACGAATTTCATCCCAAACTCGAAGAAACCCGATGACATTCTCAAGTAGGCCCAACTTAGTTTCGGGGCGCATTAGGTATTTGGAGTGGTATTTGGGTTTGTCCATCCATAAAGGTTCAATAACCCATTATTATATAATATTTATGACAAAGGCACTGCAGGCTTGCTGTTCTTGAAGTTTTGCACTACAGCATACAGTTGGGAAGAGTTCTTGTCGCCGAGCAGTGCAGAGTTGTGGTGAAGGTAGCTGTAGGGAGTACAAGGGAAGCCCGCTGTATACAGGCCCACCTGCCAGGAAAAATAATGGAAAACATCCATCAATGGCTAAACCCGAATCGCCTTCTTCTTCATCAATGCTCCTTCCACATGGTGAACATCGTTATATGACCTTATTTGATTTGGGGTGCATCAAACAACATTATATGATATACATAAGCAGCCTGTGCGGGTTTTGCCAAGCTACGCCACCACTGGTGGTTCCAGATTCTTCTCCAAGAACTGGCGAGCGCTAGGATCCCGCTCTGAATTGCTCCTGAGTTGAAGACGCCCACAAAAAGATCACAAGTAAGTCAAGGAAAGTAGAATCTTTACCCCCGCCCTTTTGCCAAGAATCCAGTAGGTCACATGAAACCTCTTTCCCAGCAAAGACCGTAGTGCGAAAAGGGCCGTGTCCATGCCGCTGCCTGAATTATGGACTATAGAAAAACACTCTTTTGAATTGTGGGTGATCTATGCCTTTTCATGCCTAGCTGCAGTCTGACATGTAGCCAAACGATCCCCGCCAGCAGGATAGCCACCATTGCAAACCTGGATCCACAGTGAATTTACAAGAAGTAGATTGAACCATATTCAACATATCACCTTCACTCCAAGTAACCCAGGGCGTCTGCAAAAGAGGCCCCGCAATCCAGATACTCTCGCTGGCGTTGCGTCAGGTCCTGGCAGACTTAAGACATCTAGAATCTAAAGTAGGCTTTAGTCAGCTCTCCTCTTCATCATCATCTTCATCTGAAAAGCGCCAAACTCCCATGGCGGCAAAAGGTTTTGGGCTAGAAATGGTTGCGTGGATGCACGCAACTTGAAGACCCAGTTCCTATTTGAATCAGACCCGGTTCCAGCCGGATGTTCATTGATACCTTTGGCATAGCTTCTCAAGCGCCTCGAAAGGACATCGATCCGAGCAATCGCTTCTTCTATGTGACTTGGTCGAAAACAGCTGCTGAATAGACCAGGAGTTTTCCCCAGGCCTCGCCTTGCCACTAACAGAATTGGGTGGATTCGGTTCATGGGTTTGACCAGTGAATCATTGGATGGTATCCCCATGTATGGAACTTGCCTACATTGAGTTTGTAGTTGAAAAGGGGTCAATGTTGGTAAATCTGTCAGACCCATGGACCCATGGAGTGTTTGGTTTTTCATGGTCTCACCAAGGGGCGGCTGCTTGTCTGTTGGAAAGACATGGTCGCTGACCGACTGCGTTGTCTCATGGTTGTCTACAACATCAACAATGTACAATATAGTCCAATACCTTCACAGAAGCCTGGTTGGGATCCAAGGTGAATCGTGGGCTGCTAGGAATCCCGATCATCAACACCAAGCGTCTTGGTGGAAATCGAAGTGGACGTCGGGTGACATGTGTGACCTGTTTCCTTGCTAAGACCTGCAGATTGAGTGTACGCTCAGACTTCCAAATACGAAACTGACCATTTCCAAGGTTGAACCCCCTTAGCAGGGGACTAAAGAGAGAGAAACTTAGTGGGATTCCTGTCAAGGAGATTAACTAAGGACAGCTGTTGTGTGTGTGTGTGTGGAATCGTTGTTCGAAGCAGTTGGGGAGGGGGGCGTCCGTGAACCTCACGTTGCAATGGTTGGGCGGAGGTCGCCGACCACAGATGTGGAGCCAGTGACAAGGGAAGACTTCTCCCTAGGGCTCCAACTATATCCTCAGAACGTGGTTAGACCCCCCTGGCACCCCCCCCACCACCTTCTCAGGAGGTGGTTGGAGCCGTAGGGTCTAATCAGAGTCTAATCGCCTGTATTCAGTTGGGATGAGGATGTGCTACATGAGGATGTTGGTAAGGAGATTGATTGAACAACTTAGGGGGGGTCATAAATCAAGACTCTACATGAGACTGCTTTACATCGGGCCGCCTGGATCACGGTTTTTTCTCAGAAGTCCACCTGGCCCGTTTCGCTTCAGCTCGCAGACATCCTTTAGCGACGATCTATTTGCAAGACACCAAGCAACACGCAAAACGTCAAAAAGGTAAAGGAAACGAAAGCACGCAGCGAGACTTTTCGACTTGTTGATACTTTTTGACTTTTCGACTTCTCTCACTTTTCGAGACTTTTTGACTTTTCGCAAAAGGTTTGGAGAGCAAGTCGATCCAGCTCACACATTTAGCAACCACTGCCGTTTCACAAGTCAAGAGAAATGTGAAGGGACCTCAGCACCTGTACCAACTATCCCTAGGGCTCCAACCACCTCCTGAGAAGGTGGTTGGGGTGGGTTTGGGGGTCTAACCACGTTCTGAGGATATAGTTGGAGCCCTAGGGTATATTGTAGTCCCCAAATAGATGACCGTTGCACGGTGTCCAAGACATTTTCTACGTGGGGATCTACGAACTTCTATCTATGACAGAGGGTCCAATATAACTATATATACCAGGACACTCACTGCCTGCCAGGTCTCTAATTAAGTTTTGGGCCCATGTCCATGTCCAACCATTGGTGACCAGTCGAGTCGGGTTCTCCAAAAATACCCGCCATGCGTTGGCCCACCCGGCGTTGGGTGCGGCATGCGGCCTGGGGTGCACTCCACCCCTGACCAACTGGATCAGACCTTGGAACGCCTTGGAACTTAGCAGGCCTGGAAGTGCAGCAAGCTTTGCTGATGATGTTTCAGGATGCAGACGACCTCAGGTTGTGGACTATCGTGGAGAATATGTTTGTAAAACATGTCATAATTACGGTCTCAAGACTTCAAGAGGTAGTGTTTTACAATGTAGTCATACACTTCATGTCCATCAGCAGTTGGTTGAAGTCATATATCCACGATCAGGCTGGGTTTTTGTGCTGTGTTGTTCATTCCCTTTGTTTTCACCTTGGAAGTCCGCAAAACCCTTCACTAAACCCTCAGGACTCAAGATGGTCACTCGTTTCTCGAGGTATGACAGATACACCGCTGACTTCCACGTGGAAAATTGGTTCTTCGCTGCCCCGCAGCAGGACCGAAGCTTGAGCTCGCACGCTTCCCACGGCTGTGCTGGAGCAGTATGTATGTACCTGCAGGGCTCGGATAAAGTCGCATCAAATATACCAGGGCCCCCAGTTGGGGTGTCCAATATTTGCTTCTTATAGAGATTAACGGGGTGTCCATGAGGCACTATCAGTCCTGGGGGCCCTGGTATGACTCCTTAGTCATTCCTCTTTTGACTAAGAGAGACATACTAAGACTATCCCTACCTGGACCCTCTAAGGGGTGCCCAATGGAAGCCTATAGGTAGTGAGGAGTAGTCCATTGGACACCCCTTGGAGATCCTTGGAGGGTCCTGGTAGGGCTTCAACTATCAGTTTCGGTGGTCTTCGACCTCCGTGACACCCAGCTCTGGCCCACCCACCCCTGGCGCCCTCAGTCCTCACCGTCCGGACGTCCGGGGTTGGCACCGGGTTGTGACGGGTCCGACAGGTAGGAATGTTGGGCAGCAGACGATGAAAGCAGGTCTCACCATTTGGGGTTTTGGATCTGAAGGTTGTTCTATTGTTGTTCTTTTTGTTTCTAGGAGCAAATATGAACAACAAGAATTCTCCAACTGTTTATATATTTGTTGTACAGTTGTTTTGAGGGTCCCGCAGTCCATCTTGATGCAAAGAATCTACACGAGGTGTCTATCTGGTTCTCTACAAGAATGGGATAGAATCACCTCATGTAGACTGAATCGGTTTTTCACCCCCCTCATATCCCTCCTGTCCCATCTCCTCAGGTGACCGGTGGTATTCGACCCCCAAGACCACCTAGCCGCCCACCAAACCGAACCGGCTGGGGCGGCCGAACGGAGCTCACGTGTTCGGCGACTGGGTCGGACTGGAGCGTTCTGACCCGCTCCGTCAGGATCCCCTCCTCGTGCGTACCTTCAGCTGTGTCAAGCCACCGGGACGGCGGACGTCGCTGGTGTTCGTTTCGTCGGGCGCGTGCGGGAACCGTGCGCGCGGGAGCGACCCGGGCGAGGTGGTTGAGCTCAGTGAAAAAGAGGGAGCGACCCTGGGTGAGTCAACGGACATGAACCGTTTTCTATTTCGGGGATGGGAAGCTTGCATTGGTGGGATAGGGCAGGGACCGCCCATGAGGAATTTTCAGGACGATCTATGTTCAACGCTTGAGATGATAGATCCAACGGACGAACATGTTTTTTCAAGGTTTGACAACCCCCTAGGGCTCCAACCACCTCCGTTTCGAAGGTGGGCCAGGGGTGGGTGCCAGGGGGGTCTAACCATCTTTTGAGGATATAGTTGGAGCCCTAGGGACCACCAACCACGAGACTGTTCCATTAATTTAAGAGATCGCACGACCATGTCTCCGCACGACCATTGCGGAGGCATGGTGATCTAGACTTAAGACCCCCCCCTTTTTCGGTATCTTTTGTGGTCTTTCTTCGAGTTCAGCCATGACGCCAAGAAATTCACTGAAAACGGCCTCCAGCTTGAGCAGCTCAGGGTTTTCCCTATAGGCATCCTGGTCCTGTCCTTTTTTTGGGGCGCCTGGTTGTGCCCAATGTCTCCGTCGACTGATTGTCCGTCGTCCTGGTCCTCTTCACGCGCCAGTCTGCCGGTCTGGTCTTCATTCGGTGTCGGTTTGGATCGCGTCGGATCCAGCGCATGATCACCCCATGGTGGAGGGCGAAGTGCAAGCACGAGTGAAGGGAGAAATCCTTGAACACGAGAAAGTAGATCCAGCTCCAGAAACACACGTTGTTGGTTGGACTCTAATGAGAGACCAGAGGCAAAGCCTTCATTTTACCCTTTGAGCTTCTTTGCTTTGATGTCTCAAACAACCACATCACTTGACATGCGATGTGAGAATTGTAGATTAGGGAATTCTTAATGACTTCTCAAGAAAATTGGAGCTTTTGTGCCATCAACGGAGAATCACGTGGCATCACGTGCCGCGCTGTGGCATTTGGGAGCTCTGGTGTTAGGACCGGGTTCGTTTTGCTAGGATAGCTTAATTAATTAAGTGAGTGGTTAGACCCCCCAATCATCTTCTCAGAAGGTGGTTGGAGCCCTAGGGGTGGGACAGCTGCCTTCTCCTCGACCCAAATGGTTGAAACAGCGAACCGATGTTCGACCCGACAGCGCTTTTCACAGCTCTGCTGACACCCTGAGCTCTGTTCGAACAATATTTCTTAAAACCAGATGTGAGTGTTTCCTAAAAACGGGGTACATCTATTTTAAGAGGTGTTTTTTTGTAAACCATCCATTTTGAGTACCTCTATTTTAGGAAACACCCATGTGAAGATCACTATCCACACAGTCCAGAGGTTTTATAGACCGACACCTATTGTCTCGGGTTTTACGTCATGTGACAGTCAGACGTTTGCTATGATACCCAGTTCATCCTGAGGAAGATGCACCAGGAGGGTGACACCAAGCATTTGTCGGACTATGGGAACTTGTTCACCCAGAGGCGAGTTCGAGATCCAACGTCGCATACGGCCGTGTTCGTGGCTGCGGATTTGTTGTCTTCTGGGGAAGATGGGGAGGATGAACTACGAACCAATTGGAAGTTGTGATGGCTGCAGGTCGGGACACTTGAGTTTGTGTTTTGCGGACATTGATAGTATCTTGAAGATATGCAACCATTTCTGCTATGATCACTTCCTTTTGCACGAGTCTATTTGGTTAGAGATACTTTCCACTGTCAGAGGGGTCCCGAGATCAGTCGCTTCGGTCGCTGCGGGCGAGATCGATCGACCGATCGGATGCCCCGATCGATGCTCGGCAGCACTCGGCAGCACAGTGAACTTTGTTCCGCAAAGTGACGTGCGCACGTCCAAGGGAGGTTGAACATCTCCCATGTATGATATGATATGTGCAACGAACGTTCGAGTCCTAAGGGTTCTGGCTCCTACAGGTCTCTCAACCTCGACCACATGGGTTAGGGGGGTTCTTGACGGTAGTTGATCAGGCCGGGAGTGTGGTTGCTCCGAACGTCCCAGATCCTCAGGAGGGGACAGACCCCGGTGGCACACACACACACACACCCACCCCTGGGCCACCTGACCGAAACAGAGGTAGTAGGCCCTCGAGCCTAGGGAAAACACGGGAAAAAAAACAGAAAATATACTTACAACAAAAATTAGGCCCCGCTCTCTACCACACCTAAGACCTAACTTCTGGGCAACTGCCTGTACCTTCTACGCACCAGCGACTGGACCTGGGTCGTCGACTGGACCGAGGCAACTCGAAGACTTGGACGCCTTGGCGGAGTGGGCTTATCTGGCCACAGATGCCTGCATCTTCAAAGCCCTGGATGAGGCCTGCAACAATGAAAAAGGGTGTTTGGAGAAGGGCATTTTCCATGGGGGAAGGGCATTGGTATGCTTCCCATTGAGGTTTCACCCCACTCAAGACAATTAGGTGAGATGGTGTTCTTTTTTTATCAGGGAAAAGGCTTGGAGTCAGAAGAACATGAACCTTTTGTTCTTTGCCTTGTTGCTTCTTTGGGAGGAATTCCGGTGACTAGACTTCTTGAGGGTTCCAACACTAGTGGGGTCAAGCAAGCAGTGGCTGGCAGCATCGTGGATTCTGACTTTGTAAGGGCTTCTCCCCATGTGTATAGTATTGCAAGCAAACACCTAGTATTGCAAGTGTTCCCATCCACTCACCAGCAGACAGGTTTTAAACATCTTTGAAGTTTGCAGGATGTGACCAGGTGTGACCGCACTTCATTTCGGTTTTGACCACACTTCACATGAGTTTTGGTTTATATAGTTCCAAACCTGTTCCTACAAACTCATGCCAACACTTCAGACAACCCAGCCCAGTGACCCAGACAGCCCATGCTGGCTCCCACCTTCTTCAAACCCCATGCCCGGTTTCCTCTTCGACCATCCGGTTTCACACCGCCCGAAGTACGGTCCCAGAGCTTCGCGGCGGAGCGACACCGCAGGACCGTGCACTGACCCAGTGGTGGCTCAGCCCCTCGGTGCACCGGCGAAACTTCCTGGGAGTCTTGGCCTTCTCGAAGCGGTCGCCTCGCCGGAGCAGCTCAAGCAGCGGGCAGCGGAGCGAAGCAGGTGGACCGGGTGTAGAATGCCAAACCGCGACGGATTTGGGTGGTGTTATGCCATATAGCCCGTTTGGGCTCCTGGCCCACCTTCGTTCGGTTCGATGGGGCAGGAGTGAGAGGTCTTCGGGGGGTTTTGTCTAACCACCGGTCACCTGAAAAGAGCCAGAAATCGCCCTTCTCGCCTCGGTATGCTACGTATGCTGGCTGTATATAGACCGAATCCAGCATGATCCTGGCCATCTCGGGCCATCTAGCTGCAGTAAAGCGACATGAACATCTTCCACACTCCCTAGGGCTCCTGTCCTATATCCTCAGAAGGTGGCTAGACCCCCTGGCACCCACCCCAACCACCTTCTCAGGAGGTGGTTGGAGCCCTAGGGACTAATCTATGTTGTTCGTACAGCAACCAACCGGCGGTCCTACCGTTGCCAGAACACCAGGTCATGAAAGACATGCCGAAGAAGAAAGTTCCCCCATGTGTTGAATATTTTTGGAAGGCTCAAAGTTTATATTTGGCAGATGTTTGCAATATGTGGCCCGGCAAATCAGCAAACCACCTTCTACACACAGTGAGTCCAACCCGAGTCTTTTCCACCCCGAGTCCAACCCGATCGTCCGCGGTTTTTTTTCCCATCCGAGGACATTTGAACCCTCTCTGGCCGGAACCTCAGAGCCAGTTCACCAGCGAAAACGAACGGAACCCCGCACGTTCACGAGCGTCGCAACGCGAGGCGTTTCGCTGAAGCCATGCGTAGCAGTTACGTCGAACCCTAGTTCACGCAGTCGTCGAAGCCAAGCAGTCACGGTGTTTTGATGTGGTGAGGTGCGTGGTGAGGTGTTTGCTCAGTTTTCGGTATAGGTGACTCCTATGAAAGTAGGCCCCTGTCAGACATATAATATGTAAGTAGAACCCACGGAAAGATGGGTGAGACACGGCCACAGCAGCAGTATCTTCTGTTGTGGGTTTATCGTGAATAGATATGAATAGAGTTGAATAGATATAAACATATACTCAACCGGGAATTCCAAGAAATCCAATGGAAAAGATAGCAACAATTTGTTGGTGTGTCGAAAGGCACATGATTATGTTGAGGATCTTGGATTTTCTGGATGTGCATTCAGCACAAACGTTTGCTCAGAAGTCTTGTCCTTATTTCCTTCAAGCGGAGCCGCACCTTCCCTTGGATACACTGTTGACATTTGAGATTCCCAGAAGTTGTTGGCAAAATATGGCAAAACTGATTTGACCCGTTTTGGTCTGTGTCATGTATTATAATTATGAGTAAAGACAGTCAAGACAAGATTAGTTTCCAATGCATGGGATGGGATGATGAACTGTGTTCCAGGCTGAAGTTCCCTCGGGATAAGTGGTTACTTGCTATGAAATGTAGGCGGTGCTTTAAACATATCATGTAATCATACACATGCATATATTTTTTGGGTAACATATCAGACCCCACCAAAAACGATAATCATGCCAAGTGGTCTCTGGCTACATAAGTAATGTTGTCCGCTGCACATATGATTCACCATTTTTTTCTGATTGAACCAAGCTTACACCACTTGTGGCTGAGGTTTCAAAATCCCAATCAGACCTTGATTGACTCTCGGCCGCATTCGTGTCGAGAGTTCGGCGTCCATTCACCACCCCGACTGCGGGTCCTAATGTGTTTTTTTGTTTGGGGAGTTTAAGTATGTTTATACGTTTAAGTAGTGTTCTTATGTGTTCTTCTAGGTTTTAGAAGCATGCATGTTTTGTTCCAGCCATGCTCCATGCTGTTCAAACATTTTCATACAACTGTCTTCGGAGACGGCAACTGCAAGAACACAATAGAAGGGTAAAAGGGTAACCAAGAACTGGAACTTCCAAAGCCAATCAGGCTCCATGTATCTGCTGATGTTGGAATGGAGGTGAGTTAGCTCTCTTCCACGCTTGGCTGCCAAGAGAGCTTGAAGGGGCCTGGACTGGGACCCTATCAACATACCTTTGCGATAGGCTATAGGGTTGTTCAATCTCTCCACAACCAGACACCCCATGGGACAGCTTCCCCCTCCGCTCAGCGCCTCAGGACATCTTTTACAGGGTGAATCCAGAGATTGCCACTGGCCCGAACAAGCGATGGGTGGCCTGAGTGCGGACGGACAATGGTGAAATGTAGTGTCAGTGATTGTTTATCAGATTAGAGAGTGCGTCATACAGGTGTGCTGGTTGCTCAAGTTGATCATTGTTTTCCTCATGGTGGACATCCACTTGGAGAACCTGTTGGAAGAGCCACAAGCAGGTCAGGAAGATGTTCTATCAGATATCAGACTACTACAACTTGATTTTGCAGTCTTGAAGAGGAGTGTTCATTAATTTGCTTTGACTTGGGAAGATGTTTTGCAGTTTTTGCTTGGCTTCCCCTATAGACTATCCCATAGGTACCCTGGTAGGGTCCTATTTACGGTCACTTAACCTTGGTTGGAAAAGCAGCTTGGTTGGCCACCTCTGCGACACGTCCAACATCGTCGAGTTTCGACCGGAGCCGCGGACCGCCGAGCGGTGCTACCACCCCGCGGACGAACGATGCCGACGTTTGGTCAGGTACCGGGAGTTTTGGAGGTTTTGTATGGGAAAACATACAGGAAACCGGTCTTCACTCTCTGGGGTTTCCGAGTTGTAGATGTTTCCAGTACACGGTACCTGATGGATCAGGGGGAAAGAATAGTTTTCATCGTTAAATTGGTCTTTGGAACGGTCACTCTTTGGGTGATCATGTTGTTTGACACTGGGATAGAGAGCCTGGACCCTCTAAGGGGTGCCCTGTCTGGAAGTCTATAGGTAGTGAGGAGTAGTCCAGCCAGGACACCCCGACAGGAGGGTCCTGGTAGAGAGCTATACTCAGGAGTCCAGGAGGGTCTCGTGGTCGACATAGACATGCTCCTGGAAAGTGATGAATGGCTATGCATAGCTTGAGCCTTCCAAGAGCTCCCCGAAAATGATGGATTCCGTGTTGGTTTGTTCACTTTATACAAGGTTTTGCTTTCAGTGCTTCACCCACAAGTATATACTTACTCCATGCTTCCACGAATACACAAGACATGGTGACACATGTTGTTTGATTGTTTCAAGTCTCTTGAAAGCTGATGTTGTTGAATTCCTCGACCCTGCTCGTTGTTCATCCCCATGCTTGCCCACCTCGTTGACCCACTGGCGCTCCCTATGGGCGATCATGGGGTCGTTGATATCAGGGATCCATGTGGGCGATTCCCTTTCCATCGAGGAAGGCGAACAGTGTCTCCGTCCTCACCGTCTCTCAGAGGGTGCCAGTGGATCCCATCGTGTACGGAGGGTCGTATACGAGACTCAATCAAGGTACAGACCTTGACGGGTGGTGCACTGCTTCTGCTGAAGTTCACCACTGATATGCGGAAAGCGTACCTTGGTTGGCACGGTTGTTTTCGCTGGCTCGCCTGGAACATAGATTCTGACTCGCCTGGGCGGCTTTCAGAGGGCTGGCAGGTTGTCTGGAGGTAAGTACATGATGAATCGTCTGCGCACAGTTGTATATATTTCTCGGACATCCAGACAAGTTTCTTGGTTGATTTCGGAAACAACAAAGAGGATGGAGTCCTTGGATCATCCCGCCAACACTTGTGACAACATGTCCTCACAGTTCTATTTGTGTCGGGGTCAGTTCCTACCGCTAGGATATGCATAGCACGACAAACTAATTTAGTGATATGTCCGGGATGTCCGCACAGAAAACAAAAGACATATCTATAGATATATCCATGCCTTATACAGATATTCTGCTTGAAAAGGGGATCAATAAAAAATCATGTAGGCACATTTGCCCATGAAATGTTTGGGCTACTAGGGTAAAGAAACAGCTAGAAGCTCTAACTAGCTATATTTTTCAAGTTGATCCAACATTGGGATACCTTTGTGATCCTTTGTGCAGCCACCCACCATGGTTGCCCCCAAACACACGCTGTCGCATGCATCAGTTTTCGATTTCACCGGCAAGGTGTCCAACGATGAATTGCAGAGAAGCATAGTTCACTTGAGTCACTTGCATAGCTTGCAGTAGATTCCGTTTGCACTCAAAAAGGGCTCAGGTGATAGTCCATCCAAAAGGATGAAACCTAGTACTTCACCCATTGAGGTGGCTAACCCAACATGGAAACCAAAGAGCACTGAACCATGAATTCACGAATAGAAGAGTTTGGCAAAGTTGGTCTCTGAATCTGACCTTAATTCTATATACTGTTTCCGCCCTTCCCACTCTTCAGCTTCACACCCACCACCCCTCAAAATGTTATGAACAAAATTAGGAAAACTGTTTGGAACGCTACTTGAAAAGCCCCGCACGCGCTCCTTTTGTCCACCGTCCAAAGACGAAAACGCCGCAAAAAAGGCTGCTGGAACCACTCTCACCTTTGGAGCTCTACGGCTGCGTGGAAAGCTCCTGGAGCATCGTCCTCGCTGCGACTGGGTCGACCTGGGCGGTGGTCGGGTGGGCGGTGTCAACCGCGCGGGTGAAGCTGTAGCAGAAAAAACAAGCTTTTAGATGTCATGTTGGTTGAGTTGGATCCCTCCAAACTTCCAAATCCATCAAAAGGGTCGCAACAAAACGGTTTCAGAGATGTTCTGTTGAGTTTCGCGCCCCTTTCTCCGTTCGGATGGGAGATTTTCGGGGCGTCATGGAGATTTGCAGCCGTCGATTTGGGGGTTTTCCGTTGGATCCCTTGTTGGGTAAAGACTCAGGTGTTCCAAATTGGATACCTACATACCCTAAGGATCCAGTCGTACCCTCTGAGAAGGTGGGACTGGGGGTGGGTGGGTTTGGAGGGTCCAGTCGTACCGTACTTGAGGTTCGGTACAACTGGATCCCTAGAGATGGACATCTATAGACTGGAACTGATATGAGTTGGTGATCTCATACAGAATCAGCATGAGGTGGCTGAGATATCCACACGACATGACATGAGGTGGCTGAGAATCAGCATGATGAACTGGGGAGCTGGGGTTTTCAGCATGTTGTTGAGCTGCTTGGCTTCTCTTCTCAGAGAAGCACCAAATCATGTTTTAGCTGACACGAAGTTCCGAAGGTGGAACACTGACTCTTGAACACGACTCTTCCTCAATGGGAACGGGTATATACATATTTGGGTAGAAGAAGTCCTGGTAGTAGACCCACGGACAGGTGCTGGCCAGTGCCAGCGCAAAAAGGGGGGTTCCTCCAGTCCCCCAAACCCGTGCTTCTACTCAGATCCACCTACCCGTCGACGTCAAAACCCTCCCAGGCCATTGGCATTGCGAACATCACCAAGTGTGAGGAGCTGCGGAAGCCCGGGGCCAACGAATGGCTTTGATCCTCAAGTTGACCAGATCAAACCGCGAACAATGTTTTGTTTGCCGAAGAAAACACGTGGGACGTTGGACTCCTTTTGTGGGAATATATTTAAGATACAAACAAGTACAGGTGGTCATGTCCAGCGTAAGTAAAGGTCAAGTAAAGGTCATTCCTCTTCGCGGTAAATTCTAGAGAAATCCTGGACATATGAATGACTACAGCGAGTACAGTCTTTGTTCTCTGTGTTTTTTCAACTACAAGGGAACAAGGGAACAGCTCTCCAGTGACACAGTCCAAGTGAACTGGTCTTTCAACGAATAAGCTTTTTTGGGATACTGCAGCCTTCTTCTGCATTGGGCCATTTACAGCGGCACTGCCTGCTGCACTACCCGTCACGACTTTGCTTGACCCTACTCGGCCAAAGCGGGTCTTTTTCCACGGTCACGCAGTTGATCTCGACGAATGTCGAGCGAAGCGAAGCGCTCTCGCTGCGGGGATTCTCTTTTGCAGGGAGGTCCATGGGGGTCTTCCAGATGCAAAGTGCGGTGAAGGAAGAAATGGAGCCAAAGCGTATCCAGTCTCCCATGTCTTTGTTACAGAGACTTCAGTTCCCTCACCCTACAAGCTAGCTTGTGCTGTGAAACACAGGTCATCACACAGAACCTTCACACTTCAGAAAGGACAGACTGGACATAAATGGACATGATATGCAGGTGCCATGATATGCCTATGCACTTTGTTTGCAGCTCTTCGGATAGCACAGAGACATGACCAAGGACAGCTTTCCTGTTGGAATTTTGAAGGCAATATATATATATATATACATTAGTACATTAGGCATATTCATATTGCTAATTGCTAATTTTAAACATTGCTAAACCAGATCATCAACTTCCCTCACTCCAGAGGAGTTCAATGTTTGATGAACTGCTGGCGTTTCTCTATCTCCACCTTCGTGGACACCTTTGGGTCATATACTCATCCCTACAGCTCCAACCACATCCTTAGAAGGAAGTTCGACCCCAACCCAACCCCAAGCACCTTCGACGCTGAGGTAGTTGGGGCCCTAGTGTAGGGCATATTCCGGTGATACAACTGGTGGTTTGTGCTGGTGAACTAATGCTGATGAAGTCCGATCAAATTCAGCAGAGCGCCTACGTACATATAGCATCAGAGCAAGATTCCCGTGACAACTTTAGTTAGATTCCATTGAATCTGAGTTGATTCTGTCAAATGCATATTTTAGATTACTCCAAGCTAATCCAAACTGTATGTACTTTGTTGCCCACATGGGCACCTTCTCATGCTTCCCACGACAGCATGCCCGCATTTTGTGTCAAGTTGCGCCTGCGTTTGGTGTCAAGTTCGGTGTCAGTGCGACTGTGAGAGCCCAACAGAGCTGGTTTGTTGTTGGGTGTATATCCATGTAAGCGACGACAACATGACGACAACATCATTGGTGGGTTTGCCTAACACTAGAACGTGCGGAATTGCGTTTCTACCTCCAACCACTTGCTAGTGAAAGGTTCAGTCATTATGTGTAAACGTGTAAACAGTAAACAGGTTCAGTTTTTTTTTTGGGGTATATTATTATGACATATCATGCTTAAGTGAAACATGTTGCACACAAGTTTTCTTTGACATTTGCAGCGTCATCAATCGAAATCATGCCGGTCGCGCCGGACGAAGAGACCGTGATCTTGGCCATAAAGATGCTGGTTTGCATGTTTAAAAGATCCGCTTTAGTGGAGGCCATGCTGTGGACGGTGTTTGCAGCGCATGTGATTTGGTTAAAGGTTTTATCTGTGGAGCTACCAGAAGGTTGTTGGGGGTAGAGGGTCAACCGGACAGATGTTGCTCATCAACAGATTGATGCAATTTCGAAAAAGAGGGTCCCTCGCAAGCTTCCCCTCCCTCCACTTCTATTTCACCCTTGGAAGATCAGCCAAGACCTCCTTTGTTCATTCTTGGTCCATGGAGCCGTCGTCTAGAAAGCTGCTTGACTCTTTTGCTGACGTGCAGATGACCTGGTCAGCTTACATTGACGGCATTTTGAGGGAGAGCTGAATTTTTCGGGAATGTCTTCAGAGCTCGCAAGCTTCCCAATTCTCCATGTTTCAATGGCTCACACTGTCTTCGTGTGGCAGGCGGTTCGGTTTCAGACCGCCTTGTGGACACCCGGCTCGCACAACGGGCAGGTGGACAAGCTTCAGATGACCGACTGCTTTCGGAACGGCGACTTCGTCCGGGCACAGGCGCGGGCGCGAGGTGGCTCGGGGAGGGTGAAGGCTGAGTTTGGCCCAGGTCAGTCAGCCGCAATGAAAAAGCGAGACATGATGGAACCAATGTGTACCCCTCCGACTCACCAAGATGGAAGTAGAAGATAGTCAACATAAAAATGGTTGACCTCGAGCAATGTAGTCTTCGATTTGCATATGCAAATCACAGAGTAGTAAACCATGGTGGTATCATGCTGTGGCATACACCAGTCTCATCTTGGATACACCATGATCGACCCGGATTTTCCATGCCCCATCTTTTTCCCAGAAACTCCATGACGTATGGCATACGCTCCATACATTGACCCCGACTTCAATCCACCCCCTGGCCTGATCGGTCAATATGCCCATAATATGCCAGTCTCATGGAGTGTTGAGCTTTGTCGTGGTTCTTTTCTTCGTTGGTCGTATCAGCTCTCCATAGGCTCAGAGCTCTCCACATGCAGAGCCCTGTTTATTCCGTGTCACCGTGTTGGTCACCGTGGTGGGTCAACGAATGACCGCAAGGAACCAATCGGCACAATCGGCCCCAACGAATAACCCTTCAGAAAGCCCCATTGATTAACCCTTTGAGGGTTATAATTAACATAATCTAATAGTATTTCTATGAATTCAGAAAACACTTGAAGGATGAGTCATCGATTAAAAATTAATCAAAAACACCTGAAGGGTCAGTCTAAGGGGGATCATTCTTAGACAAACCCTTTGGGTTTATTCTCACCTTGCACATCTTCGGCAACCACAGCAAAGCATGGTCAAGACATCTCAAGACCCATCTAAATCGCGACATTCAACTCTGTGTCTCCAGCCAACAATGTCCATGCCCTCTTACCTCATTCCAGGCCATTTTCTTGTGATCTCATGTCATGTCATATCATATCATGTCATAATATATATATATAATACTGTATCCATGTTTTCCTCACCTCAATTCCACCCCATTCCAGCCCCCCCTCCAAAAAACACAGGGACTTCCGCGTGCCACGCGCCGATGGACGCCGAACAAAACCTCTGACGCGCCCCAATTCGGTCCGCCGCGGTCGGCGAGTTCCGGAGGTTTTAGCCTTGGGAGATCATCGCTCCTACGCTGGGGGGTCCTGACACATTCTCGGACATGGGCAGAGACAGACCTGAAGGGTGCTGGGAAGTGTTCTGAAGGTATACTTGAAACCTGAGGCCGTGACCATGCATCATGCATGGCCTTTTTGTTTGGCCTACAAAATAAAAGGACCGGATAACCCCACATGATAAGTTTTACAAATGTCAATTGTATATGAACATCACATGGGAGACGGAGTAGTGAGATGAAAAGTCAAGAACGAAGTGTGAGGAGAGAAGGTATATGAGGCGGTTGTGCTAAGACGTGTAGTATAAGTGATGATGTGATGGACGAGGATGAGAAGGAGGGGAGGGAGGAGGTGTGTGTGTGTGTGTGGTAAGATGGCGTGCGTGTGTGTGTGTGTGTGGGTGTGTGATAAAGTGTCTGATGATGTGATGAACAAGGATGAGAGGGACGAGAGAGAGAGAGAGAGAGA